CCAGCTCAAATGCCTTCCCTTTCCTGAAACCCTTCCTGACCCTCCGCAGTAAACAGTAATTATCCCTCCACCCCATGAACACCTGGACAACCCAGTGCCCATGCTACTTAACATTTCTGGTGTTTTCTCTTATATTGTCAATTATTTTTTCTCATATTTTTTCCTATACTACTTAAAAGGGACATAATGGCCTGGATTTTTGTAAAACCTATAGCATCTTATATCATATGGCACACATTAGGAAAATACTTGGTAATTTGGAAGAAAAGCATCTAGAAAGGAATTTGACTGAGGTAAATGTACTTAATGAAAGATTATTGGAGATATTATGAGAAACATCTATGTGCCTATAATACTTTTATAATTTATGAAAGTATGTTAAATAATTTCCTTACGAGAACAATTACAAAAGAGTCTTGGATTTCCCGAGTAGACATGAGAAAGTGTTTCATAGTTAGCAATGAGTAAGGTTACAGATACACAAAGGCAGAGATGGAGATGCTTATTTGAGCTGAAACAAAGTCATATTTTGGAAATTGCTCTATATATTCCACAGTTATTTGTTATATAAACCTATATGTGATTCTCCTATTGTGTTAATTTCTGGTTAGTGTTAATTCATTTGTATCCAAAGTACCAAGTCATCTCATTTATATGTTATAATTCAGAAATACCAAACAAAGTACATCTAACTGACCATCAAATTTTGTTTTTATTCTAGACGAAACCTCCTACTGAGTCAGGTCAGTGAGATATACACAAAATGCATCTCTGGATCCAAAACAGTTAAAATGAGCTAGTTGCAATGGCCCATGGTCTTCTGATAAGCTATGTACAACTTACATTTTTTAATTTGTTCTTTTTAGATATACATGACAGTATAGTGTATTTTGACACATTATATATACATGGAGTATACCTTATTCTAATTAGGATCCCATTCTTGTGGCTGTACATGATTTAGAGTTTTACTAGTCACATATTTATATATGAACATAGGAAAGTTACTTCTGATTCATTCTATTGTTTTTCCCATTCCCTTCCCCCTCTCTTCCTTTTGTTCCCCTTTGTTTAATCCAATGAATTTCTGTTCTTCCCTCTTCCCCCCATCTTATTGTGTATTAGCATCTGCATATTAGAGAGAATATTTGGCCTTTGGTTTTTGGGATTGGCTTATTTCGCTTAGCATGATAGTTTCCAGTTCCATCCATTTACTAGAGAATGCTATAATTTCATTCTTCTTTATGGCTGAGTCATAGTCCATTGTGTATATATATATATATATATATATATATATATATATATACCACATTTCTTTATCCATTCATCTGTTGAAGGGCACCTAGATCAGTTCCATAGTTTAACTATTTTGAATTGAGCTGCTATAAACATTGATGTGGCTGTGTCACTGTAGTATGCTGATTTTAAGTCCTTTGGGTATAAACCAAGAAATGGGATAGTTGGATCAAATGGTGGTTTTATTCCAACTTTTCTGAGGAATTTCCATACTGCTTTCCAGAGTGGTTGTACCAGTTTGAAGTCCCACTAGCAATGTATGAGTGAACATTCCCTTCACATTCTCATCAACTTTTATTGTTACTTGTATTCTTGATAATTGTCATTCTGACTGGAGTAAGATGGAATATCAGTGTAGTTTTAATTTGCATTTCTCTAATTGGTAGAGATGTTGAACATTTTTTGGATATTTGTTGACTGTTTGTATTTCTTCTCTGAAGTGCCTGTTCAGTTCCTTTTCCCATTTATTGATTGGGTTATTTGTTTGTGGTGTTTTTTGAGTTCTTTATATATCTGGAAGATTAATGTTCTATATGAGGAGCAGGTAGCAAAGATTTTCTCCTATCATGTAAGCTCTCTCTTCGAGTTCTTGATTGTTTCCTTTGCTGTGAAGAAGCTTTTTGGTTTGAATCCATCCCATTTATTGATTTTTTATTTTACTTCTTGCACTTTAGGAGTCTTGTTGAAGAAGTCAGTTCCTAAGCTGGCATGATGGAGAGTTGGGCCTATATTTTCTTCTAGTAGGCAAATCCCTAAGTCCTTGAAACACTTCTGGTCAAATCTCTAAGTCCTTGATACACTTCATGTCGAGTTTTGTGCATGGTGAGATATAGGTGTTAAATTTCATTCTGCTATGCATGGATTTATACCAATGATGAATCAACTGAAAGAAAAATTGGGAAAACTATCCCATTCACAGTAGTTTAAAAAAAATACTTGTAAATCAATCTAACAAAAGATGTGAAAGACCTCTACAATTAAAACTATAGAACATTAAATAAAGAAATTTAAGAAGACCTTAGAACATGGAAAGCTCTCCTAAGATCTTGGATAGGCAGAATTAATATTGTCAAAATGGCCATACTACCAAAAGCGCTGCACATATTTAACACAATTCCTATTGAAATTCCAATGATGTTCTTCACATAAGTAGAAAAATCAGTCATAAAATTCATTTGGAAAAATAAGAGGCCCAGAATAGCCAAAGCAATCCTTAGCAAGAAAAGTGAAGCAGGAGACATGACAATACCAGACCTTAAACTATACTACAGAGCTATGGTACCAAAAATGGCATGGTATTGGCACCAAAACAGATACATAGACCAATTGTACAGAAAAGAAGACCCAGAGACAAATCCACATACATACAGTCCTACTAGACAAAGGTGCCAAAAAAATTAATTGGAGAAAAGAAAGTTTCTTCAACAAATCGTGCTGGGAAAACTGGAAATCTGTATGTAGAAGAATGAAATTAAACCTCTATCTCTCACCCTGCACAAAACTCAACTCAAAGTGGATTAAAGACTTAAGCACTAGAACAGAGATCCTGTGCCTAATAGAAGAAAATATAGGCTCAAATCTTCACCATATCAGCCTATGATCTGACTTTCTTAAAAGACTCCTAAAGAACAGAAGTAAAATCAAGAATCAATACATGGGTTGGATTCAAACTAAAAAGCTTCTTCTCAGCAAAGGAAGCAATCAATAACATAAAGAGAGAGCCTACAAATTGGGAGAAAATCTTTACCACATGCACCTTAGATAGAGCATGAATCTCCAGGATATATAAAGAACTCAAAGGACTTTAACACCAAAAGTATGGTGGGCAAGGCACTTCACAGAAGAAGTAATACAATTGATCAACAAATGTATGGAAAAATGTTCACTATATTTAGCAGTTAGAAAAATGCAAATCAAAATCACTCTAATGCTAAGAGCCAAGTATATGATGCATGGCATTTTTGGTCGAAAGGTGAAGCCAGCCAGCCATTGAGATGATATGATTATGTTAAGATTTGCATTCATATGGATATTGGACTCCTGCTGTTCACCTAGGCCGGCTACAGGACTCCTGGAGAGTTCCCATTGGTTGGGGAAGTACAGTAGGAGGGAGTTCCCGGGGAGGAGCTCTCTCTGCGGGTCCGGGAGGAGGCTGCGTGGGTGGAAAAAATCTTCCCGGGTGGTACCGGACATTGGCGGCAGTTTCAAAAAATAAACTTTGTTCCTGCTTGAGTGGCTCGTGATTTTGTGCCCAGCCAGACTGCGGCACTCTAAGATTTCATTTCACCCCAGTCGGAATGGCAATTATCAAGAATATAAACAACAACAAAACTATGTAGGGGATTGATACAGAATAATATGCAAATCAAAGTCATGACAAAAAAAAAAGAATTCAAACAACAAGAAAGATGGTGAGGATGTGGGGAAAATGTTCACTCATACATTGCTGGTGGAAATTTAAATTTGTGCAATCATTATGGAAAGCGGTATGGAGATTCCTCAGAAAACTTGAAATGGAACCACCATTTGACCCAGCTATCCCACTCCTTGGTTTATGCCCAAAGGACTTAAAAATCAGCATACTACAGTGACAGAACTATATTGATGTTTAAAGCAGTTCAATTCACTATAACTAAACTATGGAACCAACCTAGGTGCTCTTCTACAGATGGATAAAGAAAATGTGATACATACACCCCCCCCACACACACACACAATGGAGTATTGCTTAGCTTTAAAGAATGAAATAATGGCATATGCCAGTAAATGAGTGAAGCTGTAGAATATCATGCTAAGTGAAATAAGCCAATCCCAAAAAAACCAAAGGTGGAATGTTTTCTCTGATATGTAGATGCTAATTCACAATAAGGGAGGGGTCAGGGAGGAATAGAGTTACTTTAGATTAGATACAGTGAAGGGAGGGGAGGGGCTATGAGGCTAGGAAGGTTAATAGAATGAATCAGACATTATTATCCTATGTACATATGTAACTTATGACTGGTGGTATTCTACATCATATACAACCAGAAAAATGAGAAATTATACTTCATTTATATATGATGTATCAAAATGCATTCTGCTGTTACGTATAACTAATTAGAACAAAATTTGAAAAGTAAAGAATAGAAATATAAGACCAACATACAATCCCAGCTCTCACTCCAGTCATAGGCTTCTTTTCCCAAAATTAATTCTAAGTTTACAAAAAGGAGCCAAATTAGGACATATTAGTTTGGCTCCTTTTTGTAAACTTAGAATTATTAGTTAGTCTGAATTTTCAAACCTTACATTAAATCATCATCAAAGAACACTAATTTAAATAAGAATTAGAGTTATTTGTTTCATTCACATCTTCAGATTTCTGAATTATACATTAAAGCAATACATGACATCTGCATATGCTTTACACAAAAGAAAAAAGTATAAATGCCTCAGGGTGCATCTGCCTAGCTAAGAAACAGATGAAAAAAGTCTTTTTCTATAGTTCCTATTAAAGTACAAAGAAATATAATATTAAATGCTACAAAAATAAGGTCAAACTTATATAAGGCAAATAAATCAATAAAATCTATAGCAAAGACCAGAATATGTTAAATTAATCTGAAAAAGCTGAATTTCTAAGACTTTGAAAAATGAGAAAAGTCATTTGGTAAAATCCTTAACTTGGATTCTTTTTTCTTGTTGTTGATTGATTTTGTTCCTAGGTTCCAGATTCAGAGATATGCAACTGATCCAAACAGTTATAAAAGCTTAGGGGACAGCTTTCGTATGATCTTCCAAACAGAAGGGTATGTATTATTTTTCCTGTACAGACTATGTTGACACAGACTTTTTAATGTATTTCTATTTAACATGTTTCCTCATTTTCAATGGTTTATTTTCATAGTTTTTTAGGGAAAACATACTTAAAAGTGTGCCTTCCTATTTCATTATGTTTTTCCTGAGATGATTAAAAACTGAACATGTATATAATATGATTATATGTATGTAATATAATATATGTGTATATTATATGTGTATATAATTACTACCAAAAATATTAATAATTAATAATAATTACTACCAAAAGAATATTAATAACCAATTTAATGACTAGAGGACAATTTCTAATTTATTTTATTAAAGCTTTTAAAACAAAAATATTGATAATTAATAATAATTACTACCAAAAGAATATTAATAACCAATTAATAACCAATTTAATGACTAGAGGACAATTTCTAATTTATTTTATTAAAGCTTTTAAAACTTCTCATAATGGAGACCATCTAAAATTAACAGTTATTTATATTGGTATTTAGATATAATATACAAATGCATTCCTTGTTTGCACAAGATTTATAAATATGCAATCAAAACAAATCTGTGTCAACTCAAAATCAAGGGTCAAATATTCTCATGTGGAAGCTAGAGCACAGTAAGGGGGAAAAAGGTGGGGCAGGATATCATAAAGACAGAGGGAAGACCAGCTGTGTAGAAGGACAGTGAGAGGGAGAGAGGAGGGAAGGGAAAGGGGAAGAAATGCAGAATGGATTTGACAAATTATTCTGTATGCATGTGTAAACATACTGCAGTGAATTCCACCTTCTTTTATACCTACAAATAACCAATTAAAAATACATAAATGAGTGCAAGGTAGACCAGTAGAATAGAAGGAGGAGGATAGAGGTAGGGAGGAGGGAAGCACTAGAGACTAAAATGGAGTAAATAAAATTTCATGCATGTATAATTATGTCAAAATGAACCCAACTATTATGTACAACTATAATGTACCAATAAAATTAAACATATATAAAAGACCTTAAGGTCTAAGGGAATAATGAATGTTTTAACAGATCATAAACTTTTGATTTATTATTTTACTTAAATAAAATAAGTAATAAATAAATACTCTAGAAAAAATAAATATATATATATATATATATATATATATATATATATATATATATATGTATATCTTCTGTTCTCTATAATATCTACAGATTCTATAGTCAGTAGAATTTCATAGTAAATTCATAATAAAAATTTAAAAAGATTTGTCAAAAACTGATGCATCAAAGTCATTATCATATCTGGTAAATGATCAAATAAATAGAATATATTGCTCACATAAGCTAAAATTTCTTATACAACACAGTTAAAGATTGTACTGTATCATTTTTAAATTATATTTTATAATACTAAACATATTACATTTGCTTTTGAAAGTTGTTTTTATTTAAAGATCTTTAAAATGATAATTATTCAAAATTTTCTTAGTAATAATAATAACTAGCATATTTTTAGCCTCCTTATGTGCTAGGAATTCTCCCTACAATGTTGAGCTATGTACCTTTCCAGTTGGACAGATAAAGAAACCAAGATTTAGAGAAGCTAGTCATTTTTACTTATTTGATAAGTGGTGGAAACCACTTTTAAACCAAATTTAAGTCAGTTGACCCAAAATCCTTGCTTTTAATCACTGTAGTCACTGCCTCTCTTGCCAAATTATACTATAAGTGCTATTCTGATAATCATTTATTTCAAGTAATCCTATCTCATGGATATATTTCCATGTCAGTATATTCTTTTTAACAACAACATAATTATTTATCTGTGAGCTACAATTTATTAAAGTAATCCCTTTGGTCGATTTTTATGTTGTTTCCAGATTTTTGCTAGTATAAACACCAGTACAATGTTGTCTCATACTGTCTTTGCGCACTGGTGCACACACACACACACACTCACACACTCACATACATATACTTGAATTTTAGAAATATATATATTTTTAAATATGGTATTTATATTTTAAGTATATTTTATATTTACACATTTATATAAAATAAGTTGCTAGCTATGGATTTCTAGGATCAAATTATATGCACACATTGTATTATAGATGCTGACAAATTACCTTCCAAAAAGTATGTACTGATTTTATACTCAGTATTTGAGAGTTCATATTGCTCCATGCTCTCTCAAACATGGGACATTATTAATCATTATGTGTGATATCTTTCCCTGACATGTATCTCCTGCTGACCATCTGACAAACTGAAAATGAAACTGTCTTAATTGTGTTCCTCTTATTGTCACTGGCATTGAGCATACTTGTTTTTATCATGAGGTATCATTTCTTTCAATTCTTGCCAATTTGTGTTCTTCACTATTTCTCTCAGGTTAGTTTTTAAATTGATATGTAGGAACTTAATATATATTACAGAAATAAATTCTTTGACTGTTACATAGATTGCAAACATTTTCCTAACTTGTCATTTGCTTACAACTGTAGTATCTTACTTATCCTTTCAGAAGTTTGACTTTTGAAAACTTACATGTGATCCTATCAGTCCTTTGAACTGTCTGATGTCACACTAAAATAAAAACAAAACAGTCTCTAACCCCAAGGTTACAAATATTTTCTTCTTTTTTTGTTTGTTTTTGTTTTTTACATTTAAATCTTTAATTTATTCCAGAATTTTTAAAAAATGTACAGCTTGATATACAGGAATTAAATTTCATTTTGAAATGATTAGTCAATTGTCCAAACACCACTTGTTGAAAAATCCATCCTTTACTCATGAATTGAAAATGCTACTTTTCACATATTACACTTCTGCATATAGCATCATCTAGAGTTTCTATTGTTTCTCCATTTCCTGTTCTGTTTCATTAATTATCTCTATGTCAGTATCATACTGTTTTAATTATTTTATCTTTAGAGTATTTGGGGACTAAAATGTAAAAACATGCCCTGCAATATAAAGTTTAAATTCCTTTCTTAGTATGCAGAGCCCTTCCTTGTATGGCCCTCCCTTCTTCTCCTGGCTCATTCTGCATACACAGATAGGTTCTAGGAAAAGCAAATGGTTTGCAGTCCTCTGATCTCTCACACTGTCATGGCTTTTTCATGTTCTCTATTCCTGGAGGACCCAAAATCCACCCAAGGAACTACCCCTCTTCATTCAAAGGTGATTGCAAATTTCACCAGCCTGACCATCGCTTGTCTACCACATGCCAAATTATTTTTCCTCTTTCTTTCTCTCCTCTCTTCTTTCCTCCCTCCCTCCCTCCCTCCCTTCCTTCCTTTTTTCCTCCCTTCTTTCCTTATGTAAGTATGGTATATAAAATATAGTACACACTACCCTTTCTCCCTCTCCAACCCAAGATTATATTTCTCTAAGGGCCAAACCCCATTTAGCTCTATATTCCTGATGCTGTGTTTGTACTGAGTGGAGACAGTATATGAATACTAAACAGAAATGAAAGTCATCACGGCAACATCATAATGCTGCAAAGTGAAACAGAGACAATAGTTTATGCAGTAGACCACCCTCTCTGAAGTTATAATAATGATCTTGAGACCTGATTAAATATTTTCTAGTCATCTAGTGACAAAGGATCAGCAAATCCTTCTTGCTATGACTTTGAAGATGTGCTATCTAAGTGCCATACACTGACAATACACTTCTATTAACAATAAGTGGGATAAAAAAAATCATGTGTATTTCACTCAATGTATAAAAGTTAAAGAAATCATAGTGTGTTACCTAGTAACTGAATTTCCCTTTCTGGTGAAACAGTCACTTCAGCATTGCCAAGTTCTGTAAGCTGTAACAGATATCTGAATTGGATGTGGGCGTTTCTTAGCCAAGGTCTTCATTTCATGTGTGTTTTAAGAAAAAAAAATGATGTTTCTGCTTTGATACCAAAAATATAACAAACACACAGTATGTGTGGTCCTTGCATAGAAAAATTGGGCTTTTCCTATACTGTATATATAATTGCTTCTAGAACAAACTGATATTTTTCTGTACTGCCTGTAGATCTGGTCATCTATTTGTTAACCAAAGGCCAAAGGGTTCTCATCTTAGAAATGAAAATATTTGTCAAAATACAAAAGAAAAATTTGCTTGTTAATTTTGATATGGAGCAAAAGCATTTCATAGCCTTAGGTTAAAGAAAGTCAAGCAAACAAAAAAGAAAGAAAAAGAAAAGAAAACATTTTAATACATGCTATGTTAGATTTTTTTTCCTCTAGCAAAAGCATATCTTTTTAATTTTGTTATTTGGAGTATACTGTGTTTTTAAAGATGTTCTTCTTTCCCTGATGCATAAAGGTTGGTTTTTCTCTTTGTCCTATGAGGAGATTAATACTAGTTAGTTTGACCATTAGGATCTCTCCTCCATGTTGAAAGTTTTGAAAATTAGTCCTTTCCCTTTGAAAAACACTAAGAATATGTACATTTAGAATCTGTACAAATACCCCCATTTCCCCACTGTAAGAAAGTGAAGTGATACTCACCACCATTCTTAGAGACCCACCCATTTCCCACCTCTCTGCCTAGAATTCATATGCTTCCAAAAGACAGTTGCTCAACCACATGAGTCTAAACCCCTTTATTGCTTCTAAGATTCCAAAAACACAGAAAGATTGTACTTTTATTAACATCATGGGTTTTCAATAGAGTTTTTCAGAGATTAGATTAATTTAAGTTTTTTTAAGCCTTCTAAATTCTTGGTAGAGGTTTCTATCATATGGAATTTTCATAATTAATTGACTTTTACCAAGAAGGCTGTTTTCAGAAAGTAGAAGGGAGAACTTCAAAGGGAATGAAGGCAGGAAAGGAATGTGTTATTGATATTGTTAATGATATCTCTGTTATCACCATGATTCTTTATTTTTCTCTGGTTTGACAGAATTAACTAATAGTTTCATCTATTATATAATAAAGTGAGCCCCAAAGCTATAAAGATGCAGTCTAGTTTATTAGGAGCCTCTAAAGCCACTAAGTTCCCTTCT